TGATCGTTATTATGGAATATTTTCTTAAAATCAAATTATTTAGTTAATTTAAGTTACCTTGTTTATTTACACTTCCACTAGAGAAGAGTGGCCTAGTGGAAAGGGCTGGAGACAAACAGACGTGGAGACAGACATAGTGGAGACAGACAGACTTGGGTTTCAATTGCACTTCTGCCCCTGCTTTGTATGCTCTTTGATGGGTGACAACTTCCTGGAGCCTCAGTCTCTCCAACTATGAAATGGGGACAATGCCTACCTCTCAGAGATGGTTTGATGATTAAATGAGAGAACACACATGTAAAGTACTTGGTACAGGGAATGGTGGTGGAAGAGAAATTTGGCCAGAAATGCTCACTCTTGTGACAGATGGACTGAACATCCTTGGCTTTCAGAGTCCCTCGACCAGGCTCCTAGGTCCCCGGGAGGACCTCTCGTGGCAGTGACTTCTCCATTCTAGAGCAGAAGCCGCACCTCCTCGGGGGATGGTTGTGTGTGGCCTTTGGGCCCTGGCTCTACGTTTTTTCAGAATTGATGCTCCTGTGTATGAAATAAAAGCTCAAGGCTGTTTCTTTGAATAATTCAAATAGAAAGAAAGCAATATATCTAAATATTTTACGTAATGTGTGATTTAAATGTATATTAATAACTAAATTGATGTTAAATATTGTTAGTAGATGTTTGGTTACTTTAGATGCATCCACGGCTCTAGGAGTGCATGTATTCCAGTTGTCTTAAAAAAATTTTTTTTGGGCCGGCCGAGTGGCTCAGTTGGTTAAGATCTCACTCAAGAGTGCGAGTTCTGAGCAATAGCGGTTCAAGTCCCAGGCCAAGCTGAGCTGCCGCTGAACTGCCAACAGGTAGCAGGATGGCTCAGCTATAAAAAAAGAAAAAAAAAAAAGAAAAAAATTTTTTTTGTTGTTTTGGTATCCTCATTGAAAAATGTGGAATTCCCTCTTTAAAAAGCTCAAGGTTGGGCTGGCCAAGTGGCTCAGTTGGTTAAGAGCTCGCGCAAGAGTGTGAGCGCTGAGCAACAGGGTCGCCAGTTCGATTCCCAGCCCGAGCTGAGCTGTTGCTGAGCTGCCAACAGGTGGCAGGATGGCTCAGCTAAAAAATAAAATAAATAAACAAACAAATAAATAAATAAATAAAATAAACTAATAAAGCTCAAGGTTGACACAGCTTGATGGGGTTAGGGACCTTCTAAGGGAGGATAAGAATTTCTGGACAAGGGTGTTGTGACACAAAAAGAACACATGTCTTCTTTGCCCACTCTGGGCCCCAGAGCCACCTTAAGACCTGCTTGCACCCTGCCGTGATTCTGCATCTCTGCTGTCGGGCTGCAGCAGCCCCACTTCAGGCAGGATGAGCCTTTAGATCCAGGCCTCCCCTCAGCCACAAGCCTGTCTCCTGCCTTTCTGACAAGGGTGACAGCCAGGTCGCTGTTGGGCTGCCTGTGCCTTCCCGTCTTGCCCAGGGGAATATTTCTGAAGCCTGGCTGCAGAAGGCAGAGGAAGCGGATTGGATAAGCCATACTTCTTCTGCTATTCCCGTATCCTCATTTCAATGACGTAGACAGTAAGGTTCAGAGAAAGGGGGTCACTTACCTCCGGTGGCTGATCGTGCCAGCCCTGGGCCTGGAACCCACATCTCCCAATTCACAGCTTTCCCCGAGCACCACACCTCTGCTGTGGCTCAGAAATGATTCCTTTATCATCCTGGGCTGGCTTTTGTTTTCCGTCACCCTGAAAACTTCCAGGTGGCTTCTTATTACTTTCAGTGGCTATGAGTGCAAGGAATACACATGGAATACCCAAACCCAAAAGAAACATTATTGTCCAAGTTGCTAAAAATCATGCGATGTCTTTTAACACCAATTGTGGATCATTTTTGTATGCAGACATGTGAACAGATAGTTAAAATGCAGTGTGATATTTGTTATATTAAAAGAAGTTTCAGGGTGCTGTGGGGGCCCAGAAGAGGGGGTAATGAGCTCATTCCGAGGGAAATGAACCTTGCTTCTCAAAGGTGGAACTTTGGGAACAGGTTTGAAAGGATGAATAGGAGTTTATCTGAAAAGGAGGGGTACAAGAAAGAGTATTTCAGTGAGAGGGAACAGCATTTGACAAACAGAGTTATGCGAAAGTTTGGTATTCAGAAGGTAGCAGAGATATTTAGCATGGCAAGGACATAGGTGTGTGGCAGGTGAAGCTAGAGGTGTGACTAGAGAGAGGTAAGGCCAACTTGAAAAGGGCCTTGAACACCAAGCTGAGGATCTGGGCCTTTAAGACCAAGGGAGGTAGACGATGTGTGATGAGGCCTTCTCTGATCTATTCAGTTATTATTTTTTTCATGATGCTAATGAGGCTGTGTTACAATGACTAATGTGTGGGCATCTGGTACCAGGGAGTTGGAAGCCTTGTGGAAATTATTTTTAATGATTAGAGTGGCATTTCTGACCTAGGTGTAGATGAGGAGGGTCTCCCCAGGATGAGCCAATTGGAAGGGAGGAACAGTTACCTGATTCCCCTGGATGATGCCACCTGTGGAGAGCATCCTTCTCCACTTTTAGCCACTGTTCTTGACAGGCAGGAGAGTATCTAGGAGATTCCAGATTCAGTTCTGTCATTACAGCCCATGGCTCTGTGAAGGCTGGGAGAGGTTTGTTTTGGGGGAGGAAGATAAGGGGAGGAAGAGTATTAAACTATTATTTTGCATAATTTGTGGCTTTTGATTTTCCCAGGATATATCAGTTAGCTTTTGCTGTATAATAAACCACTCCAAAACTTAGTGGTTAAAACAACTAAACTATTTAATTTAAGATTCCATAGGTTGGCAATTTGGTCTGGGCGTCCCTGGGCTGGGCTTGGCCAATCTCAACTGTGCTGACTTCTGAGTCTATGTTCAGCTGCTGGGTCAGTTGGAGCTAACAGGCTTATGATGGCTTCAGGTGGGATGCCTGAGGCACCTGAGGCCACTCTCTGCATGGCCTCTCATCTTCCAGCGATCTAAGCTGAGCTTGTTCACATGGCAGTCTTATTGTTCCAAGGGCAAGAGCAGAATCATAGAAAGCCACTTCAGGTCTAGGCTGAGAACTTGTTCAGTGTCACTTTGGCTGCATTCTGTTGGCCAAAGCAGGTCATGAGGACAGCCTAGCTTTAAAGGGTGGAGAACATACTTTTTCATGGCCCAGCAGTATTCCATTGTATATATGTATACCACATCTTCTTTATCCAATCATCTGCTGAAATCTTATCATTCCTACAACATGGATGGACCTAGAGGGTATAATGCTAAGTGGAATAAGTCAGACCCAGAAAGACAAATACCATATGATTTCACTTATATGCAGAATCTAAAGAACAAAATAAATAAACAAACAAAACAGAAGCAGACTCATAGATATAGAGAAACTGATGGTTGCCAGAGGGGAAGGGTTTTGGTAGCTGGGTAAAAAAAGGTGAAGGGATTAAGAAATACAAATTGGTAATTATAAAATAGTCACGGGGATATAAAGTACAGCATAGAGAATATAGTCAGTGATATTATAACAACTATGTATAGTGCCAGGTGGGTACTAGACTAACCAAGGGGATCACTGCATAAATTATATAAGTGTCTAACCACTATGCTATACACTTGAAACTAATATAAAATAACATTGTCAACTATAACTGAAAAAAATAATTTAAAAAAAGGGTGGAGAACAGACTCTACCTTTTAATGGCTAGGATTGCAAGGGCAAGGGTACACAGAGGCGAAGAATTTGTGGCCATTTTTTCAATCTACCTCTCAGATTGTCTGACTTTCATCACCTGAGAGGGTTGATAATTGAGGTTATTAGCATGAATGGGATCTGAAAAATCTTTTGAATTCAAAGTTAACATCCATGGAGGATCATGTGCTTTCTAAAGTACTAACTAATTTAATCCCCACAGCAACTCTGATTCTCCCTTTCTCTCTTACATATGCAGAATCTGGGGCACAGAGGAGTTAAGTGAGATTAAGGGACTTGTTCAGCCAAGGTTATTGGTGGTAAAACTGGTGTTTGTCTGTGTTTAGAGCAACGGCCACCATATCGTTTTGATGATATGAGGCAGAGCAGCCTGTGATGGGACTGCAGCATTCATGGCCATAGGCAGCCCCTTTCCATTTCGTTCTCATTCCTGGACACAGGTACCCAGTCCTGCTCAGGAGGCTCATTTCCTTGCACCAGTGGGAAGATTGCCCTTAGGGTTGGCCAGAAGGTCACTACAGTCTCCAGGTGGCAGTCTGACACCACTTTATTTAGGAGCCCTCTATACAGAGGAGTGTATTGGAGATTGTTGATTTCTCTGGGGAGAAAGGGTAAGCCAAGATGTCCATGTTCACAGGTGAAACATACATACGTGTGATGCACCCCACATGGGCTGGGTGGAGAAGGCCCAACAAAAGTTCTCTGAGCCCCAGGGGCAGACCAATTGATATTGGTTGTAACAAGAGAAAAATACCTCCTAGAGGAGCAGGCATGGAGGCCTTGCCTTTCTCGCTAGGGCCTTTTGGAAGCTCTGGCTTTGAGATCTTGAAAGTGATTCTGAGATAACTTTCATGGCTGGAACTCTGCCCTGGTCTAAACTGTCCCCCTGAAGCTCAGTCAGTAATGAGAGATGGGCTCTCAGGGCTGTGGGAAGAGGAGTGGGGGCAACAGGAAGGCACCTGATTATCAGAACCAGAGCAGGGCTGGGCCTGCCGTAGCATGGCTTGTGGGATGGAGAAGCAAGGCGGGATCAGGCAAAGACCAGGATGTGAGGAGGTCTGTACAGCAGACCCCTAATGAGATGGTCATGGTCAGAGTACCTGGATGGCTAACTGCAGGCTATAGCATCAAACATAGTTCATTTTGCACAAGTGATACTGGCACATACCTTGGTGGTGTATATTAGAAATCTCTGTGTCTGGGCCTTATGTTATGTATACTTTTGCCATGTTGCCCTGACTCTGCTATTTTTCCCTCCCCCTCCTAGAGTTCATCTCCTGTCCTGGGTGTAAGCAAGTATACCTTACCAGGGATGTAACTGAACATTTCTTTCTGCACTGCTTTTCTGCCGGGCAATCCAAGATGGCCAGGGTAAGTCAGGACAAGCAAAGAAGCAGCTGATCCTTTCCGCAGACTTGTAGTGCCCCTGTCCATAAGTCCATCTCTCTATTCTTCATTCCAACTCATTCCTCCTCTGTCAGTTTGCCTCATCATCCATCCTTCTATGCATCCACCCATCCTTCTATCCAGAAGAAAATCAAAATGTTTGAGCTGGGGAAATCAAAATGGAATATCTTACACGTGGTAGGCTCTGTGCTGGGTGCCGGGCAGACAGAGACCCCATGTTCTCTACTCTTAAGAAATTCATCGTTTAATTAGTAAACCTTGTATTTCTCCTCTTTTCTCCCCTTCTGTACATTTTCCAGATGCCAGTGTGAGGAGAAAGCTGTCAGAATCCACATCAGTTTAGTGGCCTGTATTATTTAGGCACAGACAAGCTAATTTTTTCCACATGTCTTCTTCTCCAGCCCTGCAAGATAGTTGCTGACCAACTGAATGAGCATTTGGACTAGGAGAGGACTGAGTACTCTGGGGCCCACCAGCCCCAGTTGTGGAAACACAGCTCTGAGAGTTGGTCTGTGCTTGTGTTTCCTGGCTGTATACAATTTTCTTTCTGTGTATCCCACATCAGTGGGTTCCTCCTCTCTGCAGGCATGTGAATGTTTCAGCTTCGCCTGTGCTCTCCCATTTTCCCCTTTGTCTGCTTGGGGAACTTCTACTTGTCATTCTATATCCAATTCAAATGTCACTTTTTTATGAAACTTTCCCTGGCCCCTCCTACACTGAGCTCCTGGAAAGCTCCCTTTGCTTCCTTTTATCACTTGCATTTTATTACTCATTGAATGTCTGTCACCTCGTGGAGACTCTGTGCCTCGAGAGCAGATCCTCGCCTCATTCATTTGGGCGTCCTCATCTTCAGCACAGCATTTGTGTTAATAACTCCTGAGGCCAGTGTTCTTTTAGTGACAAAGGGTGCTTTCCTTCACAAGCCCTCACATGTCCCTCCCAGGCACCTCTCGGGAATTGACTACACTCCCAAACAGTGGGGGAACAGCCCTGCAGGATCCCAGGTCCTAGAGCATTCACCACTCCTAGAGGCAGGCCCAAATAAGGATATTGGCAGTAACTCCAGAACTCTCTGCTTCCAGAACTGCTCTGAGTGCAAGGAGAAGAGGGCGGCACACATCCTCTGTACCTACTGCAACCGCTGGCTGTGCAGCTCCTGCACGGAGGAGCACCGGCATGGCCCCATCCCCGGGGGGCCGCTCTTCCCGCTGGCCCAGAAGGGATCCCCAGGTATCACTCCTCCTCTGCTCTTCCTGGCAGCTCACATGCCCTGAAGCCAGTGCTAAAGTCTAATAACTCTCTGACCTTGTTTCCCAGCTGCGGGTGAGGGGAGGGGTGGTCTCAGAGCCTTTCTCAGAGGGGAGATGTCTCCTCCAGAGTCATAGTCACAGTGTCAGCCACTCTAGGCACTCCCTATTGGGGGTGGGAGTGGGTTGGTATGGGTGAGATGGTGCAGGGAGGAATAGTTGTGAATTATCATGGGCTGTCTGGTTTCCCTCCTTTCACCTCTATTTAGAGCAATCATGCCTCACTTCTATTTAGCTAGTTACTTACTTAAACAGCCTGTATCAGGGCTTGTCCATTGGTCCATCCAGTGCCCTTTGTTTTCAATGACAATCTTTTTGAAAGTCTTTCCCCAAGGCCCTTGAACCGTGGGAGGGGTTTTACCTTTGTCATACCCACAGGAACCAGATTTAATGATTCATGTGATCTGGCCTGGAGCCTGGCAAGGCTGGGTAGCTGGTTTCAGCCCCGCCATACAGAATCCTGGTTAATGAAGAGGCTTGAGTTGAATTTTAGCGGATCCATTATTCTGCAGGAGACCCGTGTACTGCAGCGGCAAGCACCTTCCTCAGTCTCTGGCAGGTGGTGGGATGCCGGGGCTTGACGGGAGAGCTGGGCAAACCCAGCCAGGCTAAGCCTGCATTTCTCCTTGTGCTCCTGGAATCTCAGTGCCCAGAGAGAAGCCTCTCCTCTTTGCACCACCTTTCCTCCATGCTTTGTGTCTCCCCCGTGTCCATTGAGGGCCAAGGGCTGCTCAGCGGAGCATACCTGACGTGTGCCTGAGCTGGAGACACCCACGTTCTCCATCTTGTCTGGCAGGAGTGAATGGTGGTTCTGGGGACTTCGCCTTGTACTGTCCTCTCCACACACAGGAAGTGCTCAAGCTCTTCTGCGAGACCTGTGATGTGCTCACCTGCCATAGCTGCCTCATGGTGGAACACAAGGAGCACAGGTAGGGCTGGCTGGCTGCCCAATGGGGCTTGGGAGGGCTCCGGACTCCCCACTGTGAGAGTGCTGGGCTCCCAGTGCATCAAAACCCTCTCCCTGCGCAAGCCAGCCTGCATCCCGGGGCTGAAGTTTTCACTGTTCTTGTTGTGGGGCTTCTCTGGAGAAGGCCTGAGGGCCAAGAGCTTGCAGTATCTCTGACTTTCCCTGGATATAATCCCAGCCTTCATCAGCCTGGCTGAGACACGCATTGGGGGGATTCTTGATTAGCTGCATGCTCAGAATAAGACTCAGCCATCTTCAACTTTTTCTCTGCCTCATCCTCTAGGTGCAGACATCTTGAAGAAGTTCTACAAAACCAGAGGATGCTTCTGGAAAGTGTGACTACACAGGTGGCTCATAAGAAATCCAGTCTACAGACTTCTGCAAAGCAAATCGAGGACAGGTAGCACAGGCTAGCACCTTGTCAGCCCTGGAAACGCTCTGTTCCCTCATATATTGGGCATGCCATTAAGTAGATGTGGGCACATGTCCCAGAAGGCATTTGTCCTGGCCTTAGTGGTCTCAGGGCCAGTGAAAGTGCTTTGGGTCATCATTTGGTGAGTGAGACCAAGCTAGGTCAAGACGATCAGAGTCAGTCTGGACCAAAGTACATGCCTTCTGAAACTGGTGGTGAAATAGCCCAAGGCAGGGGCTTGAGAACAAGGGCACGGACTAGATAGCTGGGGAAGAGAGTGCTGTTTATCCTGTGAGTGCAACACGTGAGTGGTAACCTGCCCTTTGTTACCCCTTTCCCAGTGTTTCAGTAGAAATCTACAAATGATATGTAGTCATTGGTATTTTATGTAGGAAGAGGAATAAGTAAGTACAAAAAGCTCATCATGTGGCAGGCACTGGATTGGGCATAATATATGCATTAATTTTGTTCAATTATTACAATTCTTTGGGTCAGAGGTTATCTCCATTTTACTGATGAGGAGACAGGTTCAGAGAGGTTAGGTGACTTGTCTGAGTTCACACAGCTTCTCAGTGAGCTGGGATTGGAAGCTAGGCCTGTATGACTTCAGAGCCCATGTTCTCTCTCTCTCTCTCTCTCTCTCTCTCTCTCTCTCTCTCTCTC